GCCCCCCCCCCCCCAAGTGGTTCCAGGCCCATCCCCAACAGATGCAGGAGCATCTGGAACAAGGGGAAGAGCTCAGTCCACTGGGCCAGGCTGTCACTGGGATAGCATCTGGCACCAGAACAGCTGGCCCTGGCTCATCACCCACCAGCCCTGGGGCCTAGGGAAGAGCTCTTCATCTCCCTGCAGCCCCCCTCCAGGCCCAGGTTCCATTAAAGGGGAGGGGCAAAGCCTTGGCAGGGATAGGCTGCCTCTGGGCTTGGGCCAGCTGCATGACATAAGCACCAGGGATGTGTGAGGGCCATGGTCCCTGTTGTGGTCCAGGGTCCTTGAAGGGTGAGACTGGGCCCCAGGGATGGGGGCCAAGGGGGAGGGTCCCATGAAGGAGAGCCAGGAGTCCACAGTGAATGTTGTGGTGATGCCTGCTGGCCTGCAACCTTCCACCCTCCTCCCCACATCCCAGTGCCTGCTTCCTGCCCCACAGGTCTTTCAAACAGATACTGGGTCCAGGGTCACACACTTGTCCAGCTTCTACGTGGAGAAGTCCCTGCTCTTCATTTCTGACCCCTGCAAGTAGGGTGCCAGGTCAAAAGCCCCTTATTCTAAGCCTCCCCCCTCCAAGGTTTTGTGTTCGTTGAGTTCAGGCCCTGTGACATTCCTCCTGACCCCACCCCCTTCCTCCACCTCCCCATCCTAATCTCCTCTTCCAGGTTCTTTCACCCCTTTCTCAAACCCTGCCCTGCCCCTTCCAAAGTTTTGCCGGTTTGAGTTAACTTGGGAAAGGAACCAAGTACTGCCAATGTTCAGGAGGATTTCTTTATTAAACACATGAAAAGTTTGGCAGCTACAACACTTCATTCAATGGAGGCACATCTCTTCCTCTTACTACATTCCCCTAAATCCCAGCATGTGTCCCTGTGTGCGGTTAGGGAAGGGAGAGGGGAAGGGGAATGGTGCCCAGGCAGCCTGGGTTGTGGGCAATGCTGTCCAGGACACAGGGCCAGAGGAGCCCAGGGTGGGTGAGCCATGGCCTAGGGCCAGGGCAGGGGCACTCAAAGTCCTTCAGCCTTGTTCATCTGTGGAAGGGAATAGTCAGCCAGGGCTTCACAGATCCAGAAATCCTGCCACTGTGTGGGTCTGGGGCCCACAATATCAGCGGGGGGTTCACCCTGTCCCCATTCCTGCACTGCATGTGCTCAGGCTGCCAGGCCTGGTCCATGAGCCATGTCTACAGCCCAGGCTTCACAGAAAACCTCCCCCAGTCTTGCAGATATTATGGAGAATGCATTTGGAAACAATGAGTCATGTCAGGTTCTCCTTATCCACCTCAAGGTGCACACTGGGAGCATAGAAGCATACCTTGAAGTGGCCAAGGGTGTACTCCACCGTCATGCAGCACTTGCTCAGGCATTAGATGCACTTGCTCAGGGGATTAGATATTAGGAAGAATTTTCACTCTAGGAGGGCAGTAAAACATTAGAACAGGTTACCCAGAGAGCTTGTGGACAGGTTTTCCAGAGAGGTTGTGGAGGCCAGACGAGCAGAGGGCGGGGGAGGGGCTGTGGCCGATCGAACGTGCCAGTGGCAGAATTGCCAGCAGTGCAGTGGTGGTGGTAGTGCCAGCGGCAGAAGTGCTGGAGGTGTGGTGGCAGCGGAAATGCTGGCAGTGGCAGCAGCACCCGCTGCCGAGTACCCCCTGAAGCCATCCCAAGTACCCCGAGAGGTATGCATACCCCTAGTTGAAAACCCCTGCCTTAGATCAAACAGAGTTGTAAATGTAAATGAAATCTCTGAAAATCATGCCACTTGAATAAGTACTTATATATAAATGTAAGCACTCAACTTTGATAATATTGGTTTTAGCTGTCAAAGTTCTGCTCTCCTACACTAACTTTTCCATGTTCTAGTGGTTGTTGTAAAGGTCTGTCCTCTTTCTAACAATCTCTTCTTTCAATATTGAGACCCATTTGAAGGGTCTGTGCCATTGCAATCTCTGTACTCATATGACTAGGAATTCTCTTACATCATGTCCTCATACATCTTTATCTCTTGAGCTACCACTCTACTCAGAGTTTGAATGGATAGAAATGTAGGTCTTGTGGTAAAGTCTTGGCTTCCCTGTGCCCTGTTGTTGCTGATGGAACAGTGCCAGATAAAAAAGTTACTTCAGTTCTAAACTAATAGAAAGACAGATCAAAATACAAAAAATGAAGTCCAAGTGTGAAAGGAAAAGTAGCTGTTAGTTTTATAACATAAAAGTCGGTGGTTTATTACTTTTTATTGGTTATGCCTTTGACAGAACTGCCATCAATAAGAAACTGTGAACACTTTGAACAAAAGCTGTTCCTTGAACACTCTTGGTCAAAAAAATTTAAAGAAAAATACTGTCTTTCAAAAGAATAAAGAAAACAGTTTAAGTAATATGAGGGGAGGCAGACAAGCACATTGTAAAGGTCACTATTACCAAACAAGATCTATGCTACTGTTTTTTAGCTTTGATCTTCCATTCTTACTTTTTCATTACAAAGGCCTTTTAACACATAAAAGGTGTGCTGAACTGTAAGGTGGTGTAAAGATATGCAGAAATATCTCAAAGTAACTAGTGCCTTTCACTTTTAGGCATCTTTCTGAAAGGTATGTCTACTGTGCATGATTAGATGAATGATCACTGCCTGGTCTGAGAATGCAAGTGACCTTAACCGAAGTGAGAACATTCCCACAGGAAAGCACCAACTGTATGATCAGATCTTGAACATATCTGCACCCTGTCTTGTGTAGAAATTGGAGCGGATGCAGAGGTGATTGACAAAATTGATAAATGGGTTGGGATGTAAGGCACATGAAACAAGGTTGAGAACTAGTTGCCTTAAATATAGAGAAAAGACATGAAGGCTGGACAGGAAAAGAGTTTTCAAATGCTTGAAAGGCTGCCATAAAGAAGAGGGAAAGCAACAGTTCTTATTTACCACCAAGGGCAGGGCAAGTGGAAAGGGTCTGAAACTGCAGCAAACCAGAATTAGAGCAAATCTCAAAAAAATCTAAACTGTGTGAAGAAGGCATTTATCTGGGATGGTTTAGGAACAGTACGTCCTGCATTCATGTAAGATTCATCACTCTTGAGTTCCCTCCCAACCCTAAGAGCCAATGTCCCATGGGTCTTTACCCTAAGATGACCTAGGAATTTTTCCCATTCAATTGTTTTAATTATGGGAGAACTTATCTTTCCTTCCAGGGGAATTATGGGAAGGACACTGGAAGACTATCAGCAGAGTGGATGGCTTGCAGACCAGGCTAGAGTATAGTTCAGGCCCTAACTACACAAAGCCTTCCAGTCATATAAGCTGACTTCAAGCAAATCCAAATACAGGTCAGAGGCTTATCTGTGTAGATGGAAGGGGGTATTGGGTTAAAAATTCTGTAACCGCCTTAATGGTGCAGTGTAGATGTCTTGTAAAAGTCAAACATCAAAGTTCTTGCTAGAATGTATTTATTGGGTGCTGGAGCAAGAAGTGACTCAGAGTATGTTCTACATTGGCTAACTCAGGTTCTCACAGCATGGAGTGTCAGCTAACCACCAAAGTATTGATCCAGCTTTTTAGATAAGTTCTGCAACTGGAACCAAATTCTGTTGTGCAGTTAGACTGTAGCCAGCATCAGAACTAGCATATTTAAAGGCATGCAGATGTGTCTGCCTCATAGTGCCTTCAGTTTCAATGTGCCCTCAGTATAAAACCTCATCTAATTCAACAACAGTTAAACATTTAGTAATGTTCACTGTTGGAATTAATTCAGCTGAAGTCACACTTTCTAAACTATTTAATTTATGTGCAAAACACATTTGTATGAAAAAGTGAAGTAACTAAATGTGAGTGATTATTTGAGCAGGAAGCCCTTTTTTAAAAGAGAATTTTGCTTATGATATGATTCTACAGCATGCAAAAGTATGTTCATGCAGTTTTGGCAGCCAGTTTTGAAACCACAAACCATGTGGTTTATTCCATTGCAACTAATGTTTTTTTATTGATATTGTCCACTAGAATATGGAATGACATCTCTGAGTAATGGTTGCTATCCAGATGCTTATTCTTTCATGTATTTTCCAATTTCATAAAATTTTAATGTCCTTTGAAGCTGATTACCTCCAAGACAAATTCATTCTCGAGAACCCACATCTCATTGAATGTGTATTGGCTGAACATAGTTAATGCAAGCTGCTGATTTCTTATCAGTTGCTCATAATCTTTAGATAGCTATCAGAGAAGCATGGTAAGTGGTTTGGCATGAATCTCTATGCCAGCTTGATTTAAAAGAGCAATTTCATAAAAAGCAGAATTTTCTGAAGAAACAGATTCTTGGAGATCCATCACGACCAGGCTGCTTAGTTGCCAGAAATACCACTTTTTAGATGGCACTTGAAACTGAAGTGTTTATATGCTACTCCTCAGAAGCTTAATCTTAAAGTTGATTCTATAATTTATTGTCAACAGTCATCTTATTGGTAATAAATAGCAGAATAATTAACAAAGAAGCACTAAAAATGTGCCATGGCTTCTTTGTCTATTTTGTACAGAATAACCTAAGCTTTGGTTAAAGGAGGCAAAGAAATCTTATTGCATGAAAATTGAAAATGAAATTTACAAAGTAGGTGCACCTTTGATGTGCAATTTACTCTTGTATTTATTCCCTGTTTTAAAAGCTTCCAAAATAAAGGACTGCACATGAATTTCTTTCATCTTCATTATTTATTTTTGTAAGCTGCTAAAGCTGTGCTTTATTTATTGCAACTCATCCATACATAATTCTCTGTAGTTTAGAAAACTGCATCTAACAATTTCACCGCAACTTTATAAATTGCATTGATTTATTTCTGTCTCTGAGGCCTAAAACCATTTATTACAACAACAAAACATCCTCCAGTGCTGGTGATCAAGGAACAAAGTCTACCCGTTTACTGTGTAGTGAGAATTGACAGATGGCCAAATGGGGTGATAGATTTGATTTTAATGTGTCTTAAGAGAGTAAATGAACCAAAGGCAATCTTCATCTCATGTGAAAAGTTGGATTTTTGTGTGGCTTGTCGGCAACAGTGAGGTGCGATTCTCACAGCACTTCATTGATTTTCCAATCAACCATGACCACTGAGATGGCAAAAAGCAGGGTCAAAGAATTCTTATAAAGGTTTTCTTTCACTCTGTTTGTCTAGAAGAGCACAAACAGGACTGTGTCTACTACTTCCAACATTATTCAGTGGGTTTTTTTCCTGAATTATTTTATGGGTTTCATAGTTTGAAAATTTTTAATTTTGCATAAAATGAAGAGGTTTTGTGAAGAGAAGTATTTACATCATAAAGGAGAAGGAAATAAAACTTCACACCTCCCCACCTGTGATTTTAACATATATCATGGGTGACAAAGCACTTTGCATTACTTGCCTTTAAGCTCCAGAAGACAACAGATTCCAACAGCAGAATGTATTTAAAAAAAAAACCACATTGGTAATGATACAATAAATCCAATATGCTGTAGGACATCATGGTTTTCCTGCACACTAGACCTCAATCCACAACCTAATTTTAAGTACTTGAAGTGCCATTAGAAGCACAAAGCTTAACTCAAACTGTGTTTTAGAGATATTTGAGGGTTTGGCCAAGAAGCTCCTGCCCTTAGAAAGCCACTGTATTAAGAATTTGTACAAAATTTTAATCACCATGCAGTACCTCAATGCTGATGAATAACACTGATGTAGAAACAAGGTCTTCAGTAAAAGAATAAATAATTAGCTGAGGAAATATAAATAAATTGCTCTTGGACCACTTAAAATACAGCTTTTGAGGAAAACTGTTTGTAAGAGAATGACCTTTATTTGTTTTACCATAATCACTGGATATGGATCACCTTATAACGTTTTTATACTACTGTCACATGAAAAAAGTCAGCATCCTTGATTACACTAGCTTCTGGTACACTTCTTTTTTTAAAGGAAAGGTATCCTGGGAACTGGAAACCAAATAAACTACACTAATTTAAAGGAAAAGCCACAGATTAATATAGCCAATTTATAACACTTATTAATGCTGATGTGTAGAATGAATGCTCACTGCCAGCCCTGTTTGTCTCTGTGCCACTACTATTGAAGCAGATTCAGACACTCCACACTGTACAGGATCTTACAGTGCAAGAGATCCTATTTGTTTCAGTGAAGAGTGATAGAATGAATAAGTGACAAATTAATGAGCAATGAGCATGTAGGCCAGAATCTGCTGATATATTACCTGGATATTACAGCCCTTCCATGAAACTTAATTTAGTTTAGTTTAGTTTGCTTTGCTTTGCTTTTTCCCCCCTTTTATACGATAGGCACTTTAAGGTATGACATAAGCCTTATGCATGGCACATATATTTTGGATCCTATTTCAACCGCAACACCAATAATAATTAATATCCTGAAAAGAACTAGTTATTTTTGTCAGACCTGGAATTGCTACATAGTATGTTCTTCTTCTCAGTGCCAGCAACTGTAATTCTTTGGCCTGGTCTGTGCTACAAAGATGTGCCAGCAGAGTTTTACTTCTTGATGTGCTTGTAAACAGTCCCTGTGCCACTGTTGGCCCTTGTGGAACTCCAGAAATTGTCTGATACTCTCTTGAGCCAACCACTCTGAATAGCAGCCTGAACTTTATTGGCCAAAGTGCAAATTAACTAGACGCCTTCCTGTCCCACCTCCCCTGCCACCTTTAAAACCAGCTTGTTATTTGCCAAATAAAGACGAACACACTTGAAGAAGGAGATTTTGGATCACTTCTGTCTTGGGTTGGTCAGGGTCTATCTAATCACAGATCTGTGATTAGGCCAGAAAGAACAGCACCTGTACAATGAGGTCACAACAGGAAAGTAGGCCAGGGGGACCAGTGCCTAGCAAAAGCAAAAGACCTTCAGAAGGCTGGTTCCTTTTGCAGACCAAACTTTTATGGCTTTCCCTTATGACATAGTCCTCCTTTGAGGAGCTATGTTCATTCACTATGATATCCATCTTAATGGCGGACATCTTCTGCAATGCAGCAGGGCACTGGGGTGTGTCTGATTCTTTAAGGGAACAAGCAGCCTCAGAGACCAATTGCAGGTGGTGATGGGGGTTAATTAAGGACTCAACTGACAGGCACAGGCTGGGCTGGAACTATATAAACCCTGGACCTGAGCTAGTCAGGCAGTTGAGTGCTGGGAGCCATGAAGTGAGGACCTCTTGGCAACAGAGTTCCTGAATACTGAAAGAAAGCCACCTTGCAATGCAGAAAACAAAGAAATTTACCTGGGGCGGACAGGAGCTTAGTAATATGGGCAGATGCCTCTGATTTATATTAAGCCTAGAGAAGGTTTGAGTGCCTGCCAGAGTGCAAATGCTCATTATCAAGTTGTGGGCAGGCAAGGCCTACTCAGAGGACTGACATCCCAAGAGTGACTGAGAGTGGGGCCCAGCAGGGAGAGCAAGGGCCTAGAGCAGAGGCAGGCATAATACGGCCTGTGGGCCACAACTGGTCCACCAGGCACTTTCATATGGCCCACAGGCACCCACCAACAAATTGTACCCTGCCCAGCCCTTCTGCAGGAGGTGCAGGTACATCACATGGAGCCCCTGCAATAGAGGCAGGCTGGGCAGGCTGAGCTCCTCACCCCCATGTGCAGCACTGGCCAGAGCCACTGGATGCCAGTGCTTGTGTGAGACACAAGCATCTCAAGTGCCCCTGTCTGCTGCTGCTGCTGCTGCTGCTGCTGCTGCCGCTGGGAGTGGGGGCTTTGAGCCATGTGAGGGAGTCTGCTTATGAGGATGGGAATGAGGCACCCATGTACGAACACCCCTGCCACACATACCCTATTGTGCCTTGCTCCCACCCTCGTGGGCAGAAGGGCCTGGCCCAGCCAGAAGCAGCTTCCAAGCAGGGCTGCTGCTGTACTGATGTAGCCATCCTGGGGGACCCACTCAGCTTCCCCAGTGTCCTGCTCACTTCAGGCAGCAGGTAGAGAAGTGGCAGGGACAGGGGCAGTGAGAGCGTTGCAGCTGGGTAGGACCACAAAGTGTGGGGCTGGGGCTGGCAGCAGAGTAGAGCCCAAGCCCAGAGGATGAAGGGAGCATGGAGCTCAGCTGGGCATCCTGTGGTTCATGGCTCTGGCCAGCGCTGCACATGGGGGTGAGGAGCTCAGCCTGCCCAGCCTGCCTCTATTGCAGGGGCTCCACGTGATGTACCTGCACCTCCTGCACTGATGCAGCACTGGGGGAAACCCTGCGCTTGAGCTGGTTACCATCCCCGCCCCCTGCAGTGTAGGTCCCAGGACTCCCCAGGGAAACAGGGGCCGGGGCTCCCCTCCATTTCAAGTGGGGTCCTGCAACCTGTGTGGCAAGGGGCAGGGAAGACAGATGGCTCCTGCAATAGAGGCAGGCTGGGCAGGCTGTGCTCATTGCCCCCACTCACAGCACTGGCCAGAGCTGCGTGCTGTTGGATGCCAATGCCTATGTGGGGACAGGTGCCCTGATCACCCCCACCTGCTGTTGCCCTGAGCATCCCCCACCTGCTGCACACCATGTGTGGGAGCTTGTGGGGGGTCCCCACACACCCCCACCCTCTCTCACACCTACACCCTGCCCCCACAACCCCCCACATATACACCCCTCAACATACCCTATGTCCCCCATACATAGCCACACCCTCTCACATCCCCCACACACCCCCACCTCACCATACATACACACACTCACACTGCACATCCTACCATACACACAACCCACTATACACACACACCTCCACACCCCACCATGCATGTACCCACACTCCCAACCACCCCCCCACACAATATAAAATAATTACTTTATTTTTCAGTTATTATGCAATCCCCTCTATATACAGTATGCAAACACAAATCATGACAAATTTTTTTGTAATAAAATTTAAATGTGTTGCAGTAAGTGTTTGACTTTAAATGTATGATATGGTATTTTTCTGGTTCCAAGATGGCAACCCTTCCGTCCCTAAAGGAGTATTTCTGGAGGGGGGGAGGGCAAAGGGAGGGATGTCCAGTGGTAAAGGTCAGTAGTTAGGGGGCAGGACTTCCACTCCAAAGATGATGACCAAGGGGCAGGGGCAACTGTCAAGGGGTGAGGCTACCCATGCATCCCTTGACAGTCTACCAAAACTCATTAAGAGGCCCTATAAGTGGAATAAGTGCCTGCCCCTGCACTAGATGATCCCTGCACTGTCCCAGTAATGACCATCATAGTAGACCTTGCAATAGCCTATACATTGTGAGATTATTTTGGGCACTGTTAGCAAGCAGCTGAAGCATCTTTCACCACAAGCTTCCAACCATTATGAGAAATTGCTAACTGGAGAGCACCAATACTCCAGAATAATAGAGAGATATTGGTAACTTTTCACCCCTGATTTTTAAGGACAGCTCTGAAATCTTTTTTCAGTCTCTTTTAATACTAACACAATGCATATTTTTGTAATTTATCAGGTACTAAAGAAGAGCACCAGCTCAGATCTGCTTGCTTTCCTCTACAGTCTTTGAAATCAAGTAGCAATCTGTCAGCTGCCTCTGGCATGGGAAGAGGTGTCATAGATCAGAGCATTTAAATAGGTCAGATATTTTTAAAGTGTCTGTAGTTTCCCAAAAAACCCAGTCTTTTAAATAATAACAAAAAAGTTACCTTTCTCTGTGATGCTGGGAAGTTTAAGGCCCCTGACATTTCCTTTCTGACCTTGCATGAGTACACATAGGGGCAGAATCCAGAGACTAACTGGTTTCAAAAAGCTCTTTAAAGAGGGAAGTGCCATCTCAGCTATAGACTATCATAAAATAGATACCTAAACATAGTACTGTGTTAACTTTAGAAACGAAGTAAACTAAGCAAGTGTACCAAAGAAGCATTTTAAAGATATCCTGCCAATAGATTTAATTGACCTTTTAATGAGTGTATGAGTTCACAAGAGAACAGAACAGCAAACTCGCTGGGCATGTGTACATGTGAATTTATGTGCCTCAAAGTAATGTATCTTAACCTAAGGATGTACCCAGATTGAGGTCCTGGAGGAGCAGGTGAGGGAACTCTAGGAAGAGGGCCACTCGCATGATCAGGGGACAGCAGGGCAGG